AGCAACTGGCATACGGTTTAATGTGAAGTCAACAACAACAACAACAACTCTAATCTACGCTTTCCGTGACGGTCGCTCAACTTCCAACACACTCATTTTCGAAAGCAATCGAAATCAGGCGTCAAAATGACGATATCATGGACTAGACCACTCTACCCGGCTTCTTAGGATACTGAGAATACGAAGAACAATAGACCACGCACGCGAACCACACTGCTGGTTGTTGCTGTTGTACATACGCATTCAGACATGCGGACGCCACGGTGCACGCTACCCATCTCAAACGTTGTATATTCGTTAGTCCGCTGCTCTTGTCGTTGGCCGTCTCTCCCGGAATAATTATGCATATCATTTGATTTAGGTACAACCGCCCGTTCGAAGGCAATCTGTTGCGAGTCTTTATGAAGGTCTCTTCCTCCACACGGGAGAAGGCCGATAATCCTCGTCTCAATGAACTAAACAATGAAATCGCGCGATTCGCTCGAACCACCGTCCCCGAAAAAAAACACTCGCATGAACAATAATGACTTTCGCTTCGGGATCGTCGTTCATTCTCCATTGGATATCTCATCGTCCAGTTGTTATTGCGAACAGCGGATAACAAGGTTTTCGTGTGATTGAGAGCATAGTTTCTGATTGAGAGCGAGATTGCGCGATGCGCTGTAGCTGGACTACCGCTGAGAGGTGGAGCTTGCTGCGTGACTTGAATTGAAGGCCTAGCCCGTAGCTACAAGCCGATACCCTGGTCATCCTGTGGGTGTCTCTCGTTGGGGAGCTACAGCGGGGAGCAGAATCTACAGCAGAGCTCACCGCCCGCGATCAAACCGCCCTGAAACAGTTTGAGGCAGGAATAGCCAATCTGGGGAAATCTAGCAACTTGTCTAGCTCCTAGCTGCAGCATCCGATGACGATGACACGCATATGCTCGTGACGCTGCTGATGAGACCTTCAATTTGCGCCGCTTCTTGGAAGAGCCCGCCCCCTACTTCCCAAGAAATGGCAAGAGGCGTCTGGACCCGAAATTTCAATTTTTTTGGCTCCCGCTCTCAATCGTATACTCCGCTCTCAATCAGGCGAAAACCCTGTTGGATGTGGTGTAACTGGTTCGTACGTGGCATTGTACATCATCGATGCTCCGTTGGATCTGAACACAACAACCATCTTTTCAAAAAGACGTTGACGTTCCCCGCGTCGAGCGTTTTCGATGTATGCGGACGACCGCCCGCAGCAGCAATGAATTCGTCATGTTCTACCGAAGTACGCCAAACGAGGGCAACGTCGATAAAGAGGTGGTTTGTCTTCAACAGAGTTCCATCAGATGGTGGAAGGTGGTAGTATTCTGCAATGAATGTCGAATCTCTCTCCTCTGCGAAACTTCCTTGTACGTTTCAACATCAATAAGGTCGAAGAAACACATGGATGGCCTGTGAAAGAGTCTGCACAACAAGCCATCGCTGCAGTACTCAATAAACCCGAGTTGCAGGAACGACACGGCTGCATCGCGCCGGCTCACTACCGCAGCCCAACACAAAAGGATATCTTGTAGTAGGCCTCTCGCCCCCGTTCAAAAATTATCGCGAAACTCTTCCGAAGGTAGACCAGCGGGCCCGGAGTGAAAAATCACCAGAAATGTCGTGACCAAGCAGTTGTTCCATAGCCACTAAAAAAACAAGAGCAGCAAATAAAAAATAGCTTAGGTATTGAATATCGGTTGGCGTAGATTCCGGCACACATCGAACATGCGTGATGGCATGACGCCAAAGAACTTCAATAAACAATCTAATCAATGTACCTCGTGCGGGCAATCAAGGAAGAGACCTCGGGATCTCGAAACCTGATCCCCGCCCCAATACCAGGAGTCCGGTTCGTAAAACGGTTCGATCAACGGTAACATGTATCATAGTGCGGACATACAAAATTTCACGAGAAAACTAAGATTTGGCCACCAAGAAATCGAGCGTGCGTGGCTTCGAAAGCAGTTGAGCTTAAAAATACATCATACGTGCACACGGTGAAACGAACGAATCTACAACCTAGGAATGGGACTGATGTAAAACAAATAACGTCTACCGCGAGGTTCCCACAATTGGGAGTCCCCCCGTCATCTAGATGCCGTGCGACAGCAATATAAGAAGGCTCGTCTGTCGGATGTGATCGTAAAGGCAAAAAAACAGCAGGCCAACAATATGCCGGTGTCACTATCAAGCCTCCGCGTTGTCGCACTCGCCGACCAGGTTGTCCAGCTCGCCCATAGGGTACTCCTCTTCGTAACGGGTGCGAAGGTCGTTTTTGGTGCACGCCGTGAACTTGCCCTCTCGGCCCGGCTCGTTGTCGTACGTCGTACAGTCAGCCTCGGAAACATGCGGCATTTCCTCGATGCAGCCACACATGGGGGCACCCTCGATGCTGAACGGCAGGGGCAATCAATGAAACGGAGGATGGGACACGGGTGATAATGCGAGTCAGAAGGGAAAAGAGAAAAATGAGCGCCATGCAAGATAAAAGGAAACGTCGGCAACAAATAAAATATCAAAACATGTGTACGGAGCCAGCATAAGAACTCAAGCCAGGCTCACTTTCCAAAGTAGCCCCGCCTGTCCCTGTGGTCAAAGTGCTGCACGAACTGCGCCAGGAGGTGGATGTACTTGTCGGTGGCGTCCTCCGGCCACACGAACCCGTGGCAGTGCACCTCTCCCTCGCTCTCTCCGGGGTACTCGGTGGTCTCGCCCATCGACGGGTAGTCGATCACTCGGCACACGTCCTGCATCGTTGGGTAAGAGAACGGAATCACAGAAGGTCGGGGGTTGTTAACGGTGACTTGACGCAAACGATGTTCAACACGTGCATCGCAGTTCACGGTGTAGCCTTCTAGCCTCGACGAGAAGAAGCCGTATAAGCGCGTTCGGAAGCACACAAAGCTTGCGACGACCAACATCATTTGTTTACACAGAAACAAGGACCGATCTCGAAATGAGGCATCGCTCTCCAATATGTTGGTTGAATCAGGAGGCAGGCGCAACACCGCATCTCACCGTGTTGTCTGCCATCCCCTGACCGTCGTTCTCCGTCCAGCAGCACATGTACGTGTTCTGGTTGCAGGTGCGGAAGTCGAAGTCGGGCACGTCCTCGTTGTCGCACTCTCTGACCAGGTTGTATTCCAACTCGCCCTTCGGCTCGCCCAGCCTGTGCTTGTAGTGGGAACGAAGACTGTTGGCCCCGCACGGCTCAATACCTTCACTTCCGAACCTGAGTTCCCGAGGGGATTGAAGCGGGAGGGAGGGCACAAACAACTTTGATGATCCGCTCATACGACAGTGATACTAACCCAAAGGTCTGTGCAATGTTGCTAGAAAGCAAAACGAAAGTGATGACACCAACAACATCTTGTGCTGTAGTTTATACCATCAAGTTACAAAAAGGCGATACGAAAGGCAGGAACACAAGCACAGCGGCCCATGCAGGCATGGTACTTCCTCTGGGATGTTTCACGAGCACGCGTTCGTGTCCAAAAATCGAGGCCAACGAGAAGCATCTCGAAACTCGAAGATACAGTTCACTTGCACCATGGTGGCGAGGATGTTCGAGGTCGGGCCGTTCGACGTTCTATCCAGGAGTCGTCAAATGAGACGGGTGAAAAGAGGTTCAAAACCAAGAAATTCACCTCGAGCACGCCGCATCGGACACGACCGGCATATCCTCGATACATCCACACGAAGGCACTCCCTCGACGCTGCAAGTGCCAGAGCAGGTGGGGGATAACAGGGTTTGTTGGTCGGTGGGGCGCGACGGGAAATCTCGAGTAGACGCGTTGCAAGACTTCGATGCGCGGAACACGGTACGAGAAGGGAGGTAGATGGGCAACCGTGAGACAACAGGACCGAGTACTCCAAACAACCAGCGTCGGCGAATAATCTGTCGACCAGAAGGTTCTCACTGCCGGAAATGCTACAATAGCACGCAAACTGCACGGGAATCGTCTTCCCGCGCAGTAGGCCACTAGTGTTCCCGCCAATTCTACTACCGTGTGTACCATTGTTTTGTGTGGCGTTCATACCGTTACCGCTGCGAGACGAACGCAAAAACCTTTGCGAAGAGCTCACTTTCCGTAGTACCCCCCGTCGTCGGTGCGGTTCACGTTCGTCACGTAGTGGTACAGGGGGAGGATGTGGCTGTCGATGTCCGCGCCGTCTGCCCAGGCGAAGCCGTGGCTGTGATTGATTCGATGCAATTACATGCGCAACAAGAGGGTGGGCGGGAAGGCAAAAGGTCGGGAAGAACGACGTAGTGAGGTGCCGCCATTGCCATGTAGTGGTCGGCTTGCTGTCGGCACCATTGAAAACCTGAACGCTGATCAAGGCATCCGTGTCTCAGTCAACAGTCACGACCAAACATTCCCATGTGCCTACGCCTTCAAAGCATGTACTTCAGGGCACGGACAACGACAAAGCAACATCACGATTGTCACAGGTGATGTCGGGACACCAACTCACCAGTACACAGGGCCTTCATCGTCACGGGGCAGTTCGAGGACGTCGCCCTCCTCAGGGTAGTCCAGCACGCGGCAGACATCGGCGTTGCCGTACATGCCCTTGGACCCGTCGTGGCCGGTCCAGCAGCACATGTAGGTGTTCCATTCGCAAGTCTCGGGGAGGATATTGGCCACATCCACCTGAGGGTATTGGTTTTGAAAAAGAGGGAAAGTTCAAAGCGTTGGTTGCGGCTGTCGAAATCGTGGGCGTGTTGACGTCTTCAAAACAGAAAACAAGTGAGAGTGAGTCCGCAGCGTGAGGAAAGCAAGCTTGAGCGCATCGTGTCCGCAACGGTCTCACATCCTCGTCGTATGTGGAGCAGGACATCCCGTCCTGCGGATTCTCCATCGGCAGCGGTTCCTCTTCCTCTTCCTCCGACCCACCGTCCGACATCGGCATCTTTTCCATGTCCCCATCCTCCGTCGTCTCGACGTAGTACTCCGTAGGCCCGGACGTGGTCTCCATGTCGGGTGAAGGCGCCGGGGTGTCCATGACCGGCTCCGGGGTCACCTCCGCCTCGTAGGATTCGCTCAAGTCGGGGTAGATCTCGGTGGTCGGGGACGGGGTCGTGGCAGGCGAGTTGTAGTCGTCGTTGGGGCCGGCCTTGGCAGCCAAGGCGAGCAGCAGCGGCCCGGCACACATCGATAAGATAGACTTGTTCATCTTGGATCGTCTGTGTTAGTCGGGTGAATGCAGAGGAGGGGGTAGAGGAACTCTCATAATAACAAAGATTCAAACATTTCATGATTATTTAGTTGTTTTCAACGGTCAGCAAGAGTCCCTGCGTTTTCGTGGTTGCCGTTATATATGTACTCTAGGAACACGAATTAGTACAAGCGCCGCGGATGCAGCCTGGGAAGGTGCGCGTGGGACCGCGGCATACATGTGCAAGCGCAGTCTCTATGTGGACACGCTCGCTCGCATGTCATAGATACGCTTGGTGAACTAACAGCCGACGGCCTTGGTGCATGGCGGCCCACCTTCCATCGTTCGCACGCATGCTCTCTGGCATACGGCGTTTACGCGTTTAAATGGTACCTATAGACAAAAGTTACCCGCGACGATTGCACAACTTCATCCGCGCTATTTAATGAAAACGATCCGACCAGAAAATTTCACGTCAAAAGTCCGGTGCGCTGGCCCGTATTTGAGTATTATCTTGTGTCTACTAACCTTTCGTGCTCAAAAATTAGATATCGCCTGTACTTCCAGATACTAAAGCAACACAGAGGCGTTCCAACAAAAAATTCTGCCCGAACACTGCGTGGTGGGCGTGTTTGGCCTGAAGAGTGGCCGACAGGTCGACCTTTTCAGTTTCACTCCAACGAAACACGTTTCGACCATAAGAGAGAACATATCACCGGGTATCATAGGGACAAAGAGATCGAAAATCCTTGGCCGGCTTTCCGGAACAACAACTACTGTTGGGGTTTGTCACAGGTGCCGGATGGCCGTAATCATCACATGCACACAAATATATGTACCTCTCCCTTCTTCCCCTCGCTCCTCGACAAGCTTTTGCTTAGACATGGGTTGTAGTGAAGGGGGGGGTCTTTCTGGCGAGCAGGGCTAGACTCACCCTCAAGGGATGACCGAAACCTTCTTGCTGCTGCGCATATCCGCCGCGAGGCATGCGCGTGGTGGTGTAGTTGGGT